ACCAAGAAACACTGTGCAATCACAGACTCACAGTCAACAAGTCTAACTACCTAAAGTGAACAAATTACTTGGATATCTAGTTATTGTCAAAGTCTCATGATCTATACTTTTTGGTGCTTTCACAGGAAAGTCTTTAGATAGAGATGATAGCCAATATTTGGAGAAGGATTAACATCCTCTGTATTCAAAAACCTTAATGGGTTGGAGAAATAGCTAAGGAGCTAGATACTATAGGATTTAAACTTCGGTACACAAAGATAAAAGAACTGGGTGTTATTGTGGACACAGGTTGGAAGGAGTTTGGTGAATGTTAAAAAGGATTGGAGTATATAAAAAAATTGAATAATTATTCAATATTGTATTGGATGTATTTATAAAGGACATAAAAAAGATTATACCTAAATGCATGTTTTTAATAGAAAATGTAATTTTGATTGAGGAAAATAATTGTGAAACATGAATCCTTATTCAATCTTGTCTTGGATGTATTTATCAAGGACATACAAAAGATTATCCCTAAATGCATGTTTTTCATAGAAAATGTAATTTTGATTGAGGAACCTAATTGTGAAACATGAAAAACAATATGAATTCCAATTGTAGCAGGTAACTCTAACTGATAAGTTGTCTGTCCAATACGATCCAAAACCTTAAATGGGCCATTCGGTAACAGCTGTGTGTAAGGCTGCAACTTCAAGTAAACAAAATCACCAATAGAAAAGACTGTGTCACTGCGATGTTTGTTAGCTTGTTGGGTCATGCAATTCTGGGCACGCAACAAGTAAAAGTGCAAGGGTTTAATAGTGGCCCCTCTAGCCACTAAAGATCTGTCATTTGCGGAATTAGTGGTTTCCCCAGGCAAATAAAGGAGGTGTATAGGAGGAGCTTGGCCATAAACTACTTACGGGGTAGTTTGAATCGCAGTGTGAAAATTCGTATTGTACCACCATTCAACTAGAGAAAACCAATGAGACCAAGAGGATGGTTTCTCAGTACACATGCAACGAAGGTAAGTCTCGAGACATTTATTGACAACCTTAGTTTGACCATCAGATTGAGGATGGTAGTCTATAGACTTGTTCAATGCCACCCCCTTGGAGTTCAAAGAGATCACTCCAAACTTTACTAAGAAAAATGGGATCTCTATCACTTGCAATGGAAGTAGGCATTCCATGCAATTTAAAGATGTTATCTAGGAAAACCTGAGCAACCTCAAGTACTGTTTAAGGGTGTGACAGTGGTAAAAATGTGCAAACTTGCTCAATTGATCCACTACTACTAGGATAAATTGCTTTCCAGCAGAGGAAGGAAGGCCCTCAATAGAATCCATGCTAATAGCATCTCAAATCCTATTAGGGATTGGAAGAGGCTGTAATAGACCCGGAGAAGAAGCCAAGTCTGGTTTACATTTCTGACAAATATCACATTTTCTGACATATTGTTGAATGTACTTGAGCATGCCTTTCCAAAAGAATGATGATTTAACTCTTCCTGCTGTTACATCTCTTCCAAAACGGCCTCCTAACCAGGAGTCATGCAGCCACTTGAGAATGACATCTTTTAGTGCTAAGTCCACACCAATAACCAACTTACCTTTTCTTCTTAATTCCTCTCTAGGCCATGTGAATTTAGGATGAGAAGTGGTATTCTGAATTAAGTCAGAAATAAGTTGCTGCAACTTAGAGTCCGAAAGCCAAACAACTTTAGTTTGGTCTAATAATCCATGTTGAGCATTGTCTAACATCAACGATAATAGTTCGACTCCAATATGTCTTGAAAGAGAATCAACCACTATATTAGTCACTCGTTGTCTCCTTCTTTGATTGAATAACAAAATTGAAACCCATGAGTTGGGACATCCATACCTGCTGAAAGGGAGTGTTGAGCTTTTGTTCTAGAAAAAACTTAATGCTTGTTTGGTCAGTCTTTATCACAAAAGGACCATGTAACAAATAGGTTCCCATTTCTGGTGGCATACACAATAGCAAGAAGTTCCTTCTCATAAATAAACTCTTCTCAAAATCAATGGGTGACCAAACTGACTACCGAGCGATTTTTGCTCTTAGAGCAACTCTTCCTACAATCGTTGGGTGAAACATGATCCCAAGGTGATTTTGGCACAAAGTTCGTTACATTTTTGAATAATTTTGCACGCCAAATGCTCTTGGGGCCTCTTTAGAGTGCTTAATACTATGGTAGTCAAAATCGCAGTTTCACTTGTAAGATTGTACACGTTCACGATCTACTAAACCACTCCCAAGTTTGCTCCTACTCTAGATTGGGAATTTGTCGAACTGTAGCAGATCGACGTTGAAGATCACAAGTCATTGTGGAACGGCACTCTTTGTGAGCCTATTTCTAGGTTATTTCACAAGTCGGGTTTGCAACCCGATTTTGTAACTAGGAGTTTAAAACATTGCTCAACTCGAAAAAAAATCCTAAACTTAAGCCCACTCTTTTTTTCCTCCAAAACCCAAATACTCCCAATCCTCCTTTGGCTAAAAATTGTAACAACATCAGCCCCCCCCCCCCCCCCCCTCCAAAA